TATTCAGGGCTGGACACTTGTGTGCAACGCATCTTGTGGTCCAATAGCTCTTCTTCCACCAATGCCCCTTCCTTGTCTCAGACCCTATAGCCAGGCTTCGGCAGGACCGCATCAAGTTGAACATTCCAACCGAGTGCCATGCATTTTTCTGGAACTCTCTATTTTCTGGAGGTCATTTACAGAAGTAAGCAGGAGTCACCGGAATAAAACTGGCAATGAGCTATATTTTCTCAGAACTCTTTTTTTGAGGCTTGGACAGAGGAAGAGAGATGAGAGAAGAGGTATGCTATGGTAGTCCTCAAACGCTTAGTACCTCAGGGCACTGTAGAAGAGTTCCTCCATCAGTAACAACATCATTCAACAAACATTTCTGAGCACTTGCTGTATTCATAAAAGGCAGTGGTTATGTAAAAGGATGTCTCTACTGTAAGTACAGTTTACACCCTTGAAACTCTTCTCTGGCATCTGAGACAGGGAGGCACAGCCATACACTGGGTGTTTATCAGGGGATAGGTCCCTGCCACGCAGTAGAGGGAGGGGGCTGACAGGCAACCCAAAGAATGGCTCAGGGATTTTCTCCACTGCTATTTTTTTTTCATTATTCCCACATCTCCTTCAATAAAATTTTGTTAAATATTAGGGTCTGTTCGGTGTCTGGGGGAATTATAACCTGTGACTCCAGTGGTCAGTGGTGGTTAGCTATAAGCAAGCATTCCTCGAGAATTCCCTGAAATCCTTGGGGAAAAGTCAGAGGGACCTTATCACAGTTATACATGGAGATGGGCCTCGAGGTTATTTGGACATTGATTAGAACTGTGGCCACGTGGAACCTGGTCAACTTGAACAGGTGTCACACAGGTCTCTGTGGGCGAGTTGAGCACTCTCACAAAGCATCAGGGCATGCTCCTCGGTCACTGGGCGTTAAAAATCCAAATGACTTCATTTGCTAGGGGGCGACATCCTGAACACATGGATTTGAAAGTCCAAAGTGATAGCCTTTAAACTCCTCATTGCCATTTTTCTTTTTTAAAAAAATAAAAAATGGCATGTGCATTTGTGTCTGTCTGTATGCTGGTGTATATACATGTGAGTGCAGGTACTTGCAGAGTCCAGAAGAGCAGAGCAGATCCCCTGGTGCTGGAGTTACAGGCAGTTGTCAGCTGCCTGGTGTGCGTGCTGGGATTCAAACTTGGGTCCTCTGCAAGTGTGGTTCACTCTTAGCCACTGAGCCACCTCTCCAGCCATTCTGCCTCCCTTTACCAGTCAGTTCTCTCCGACACTCTTTCTGCAACCCATCACCCAAAAGGGAGGAAGTTATCAAGTATGAAATTTGGTCTGCTGAACACTGATTAGATGTTCTTCATGAGTTATTTCATTTTATCCTTTGCACCAACAAGGCAAAACAGGTAACTATCCTTATTTACTAGTGAGAAATGGGTACTGAGGGGGCTATGTAACCCAGCCAGTAGGTGGCTAACAGTCCACACAAACACAGGTTTATCCAACACCAGAGCTCTCTACACAATCACATAAAGGATCTTAGGATTCTCCTAAGCAAAACACAATTAAGAAGAAAAGTGTGTTTGGAGAAATGTTTAATGTTTCTAAAGGTAGACTGCTGCCTGTCCATGGACACTGACCTTCGTCTGTAATGAAGACACACAGGTCTCGATGTTCCCTCTCCACTTAGGAAACTGCCAAAGGGTCCAAGAGGTGGAGTAAGGCAGTTTCAGCCCAGTCATGACGGAGTCAAAAGAACCTTCTTGGTTGATGTGTACAGAGAAATGACACCTATTTGGAGGGGGTGTTTTCCTAGAAGGTTAATAAAAACATGAGGTTTCAAACACAAGTTTTTTTACATATCTGGTATCTAAGAGTTTATGTTCCTAAATATCCCTTGCCCATTCAAAATCCCATTTACAGACAATGGTGTATGTATGGCCCATAGGTAGGACACAATAGACATGATATGAAGTCAGGGCCACTGGATACAGGAGGGTGTGCTTTGGTAAGTCCAGAAAGCAACTGCTAATGCCACTAGCAGGCTATAGTAGAACTTGTGTTCTGTTTTGAGACAGGGTCTCACTATCTGGTTTAAGCTCCATGGAATTCATGATCCTCCTGCTTTGTGTCCTGTGTGATGATAGGTTAGGCCTGTACCATCAGGACCAGCCACACACCAAGAATTTCATAAACCACAATAAAAATTAGAAAAGAAATAAAATAAGCAAAGAAGTCTCAAATGGCAACCTGAAGCATTTTTTAACTAGTAGGTCCAACAGACCCAAAATTACTCCACGTTTCTCTCAGGAGTTTCTGAGCTCTGTGTCTGACCTCGGGTCTCTGTAGAGCCGTAAGTGACGCCTGGGTAAAGATGTGCAGACCACACTTGCAAACGCCAAGTCTCTTTCGCTTTCATCCTTAGCACCGCTTCCGCTAAGAAACACTAACCACGGGGCCCTGTGTGATCGCTATCTACCAGATAATTACATAAGACAGCTTCTCTTTCTTTTGTTTTTAGTTTTTTCTTTTTAAATATAACTCAAGCAGGATATAGGCCGGTTCAAACAAGTCTTCACTTGCTGAAGACTTTCTATAGTAAATAACAGAGATCTGGAGAGACTACATTGTATTTCTGATAATTGATGTGGACCTAAACTGTTAGCTTTATCATAATACAGATAATTAAATTTGCCTGATGTTTTAACGTCAGCACAGTGGCTGCACTGAAATCTACTGCTATTTCAGGCAGAAATTGCAACTTTGCTTCTCTGGCCACAGCGTAGCAGGAGGAATTCTGTGCCCACAGGCACCAGCTCTGTTGCTGCCACTAAAGGGAGCTTTAACTAAACCTCTATCATTTTATTTATAAATAAGACTGGAGATTCAAAGGCTGGGGTGGAAACCTGCTAGCTCCGAGAGGCTGAGTAGCAACCAGCAAACCCTATTCTCCTTACTGGCGTCTCCGAAAGACCGGTACTTCTGCCTCACCAAACCAGAAAAGGCTGTCCCACTCCAAATCCCTCCCTGCTACTTCCTGTGTCTCTCTATCACTCCGGGATGCCCTCTGGTGCTCTATGATTACTTCCTGTCAACTAGTTGCTAATGCAGGCTCCTGACCCAAGGTTAATTTTATTTAATTAATGCAAATGCAAGCTCAGGGTTCACGGTGTGACTGAATATCCCCCAGCAGCCTGAGGACAAGGCGGGGTCAGAAATAGATATTTTCATACTTCTTCTCTAATTTCCCCTCTCCCTAGATCTGCAACCACACTTTCAGATGAACAAGATAGCTAAGGTGAAATGATAGAATGTGGGTGCAGAGCGATCAACTTGTGGTGAGCACCCAAATTGTGCTTTGCGTAGTTTCCTAGCAGAATTTGATATTAAAACCTAAACAGGCACCACCAAAACACCCCTCTGCCTTTCTGTTACCATCTCTCCTTTGTGCTGACATGATCCTGTCATCGGTTGATGATACATTCGTAACCTGTGGGTTTTCTTCGCTGATTTCCCAGAAACTGTTTGAGATAGCAGTGTTGTTTTCTTTCTGAGCCTCCTTCCCGAGAGCTCCTCCTTTGTGCACCTCAAACTTACCCTTCAACATGAACTTCTTGATTTCATGTTTTTAGCCTGGAACTTGCTATAAAGTCAAGGGTGACCTCGAACTCCTGATCTTCCCACGACTGGGATTACATGCCTGTACCACCATGCCCTGTTCATCAGCTTCTGAGAGAAAATGCTGGTTTGTAGGGGTGCACTGGGCTTTGACTTAAGCGACCCATCACATCAGACCTAAGCCCTCAGTCAGCTCCGACCACACTATCACACACGTGTTAAGTCCCTCACTGGATCCTAGATGTTTTTGTCTTTCAATATTTCCTATGGAGAAAAATAATGAGACATCTATAAGCAGACGGTAAAGCCTACTAGCTCCAATTGATTTGAGTTTTCTGAGCTAGCTCGGGCCAGGAAGGAAGGCCAAGCTTCAACAGTGTGGGTGGGTTGGGGGCCATAAGGGTGGGCTCGAGTCTTTGAAAAAGTCTGGATGGACCTGCAATCATTCACAAAAGCAGGTCTGAGCCTGACAAATGGAATACACATGTAGGCACACACCCACACCCACAGACCAAGTGTGAATAGCTGAGTAGTTGAATGCCAGTGAAGCTGGGCCAGTGGGAACAGACATTCACCTTTCTTCCTAGCATGTACTTTAGGGCTGTTTCTGCTTTATCTTTGTTTTAGGTCATCCCCATCCCCGCCCCAGCCTGATGCTCAGATACCACCTTCAGGCTGAACAGTTGTCAATCATTCCTCCTTCCGACTTTAGCAATTGCTAGAATAAGAGGACAGCGCCTCCAAGGTGGGATCCAGGCTACACAGGCCTGAGTACTAAGAACAAAGACAGAGAAGAAAAAGTTCATGTTTGCTCCCTTCTGTTCTAATTAGCTGGTTGCTAGAGGCAAGTTAATGTGTCTGTTTTCCCCAACTGGGATCTTTGGTTAATGTCACTGAGGTGCCCTGAAGATAAATCCACTCACAGGAGGCCTGTGGAAGCAAACCTAAGGAAAATACAGAGCTGCCAGTATCTAAAGAAAAGCAGAGAAGCAAACCTCGAGTTCTCATTGGCTCTCCCCCAAGCCAGTGCTACTCATTGTTTAATGTGCACACAAACTGCTGAGTATCTTCAAATGTATAGGCTAATTCAGTGAGTAGTGGGTGAGCTCAGAATTCTGCAATTCTAACATGTTTCTTGGTAAAATAAGTTGCATGTGGAAGACGATGCTTGACTCAGCAAGAACCTACAGTCTGGGTCCTTGATCATGGTTAGAGTGTCTCCCACCCCCATCCTCCCACTCTGTACAGGGCATTCTGGCCCTCATCAATGACTTGAAGAGCTCATAAAACGTCATGCAAAACACGATACTGTTTTACAGCTGTGTGGCTTTGTGTAGCCTCCCCCCCTCCCCCCCCACCCCGTCCTTCACTCTCATCTCTCTTTAGTTGGCAAGCTCCTTCAATCTCAGCTCAGGTGAAACCTCTGCCATTAAACCTCCTCAGGTTCTCCGTCTTCCCGGGTGGGCTCTTTTCTTGATGTTCACCACACGGTGGTTCTGTGCTGCTTGGGTATCTGGGGCCATAACACAGAGTTGCTCACTTTGCACCCTACGTAAAGTCTTCCGGCCAAAGAGGCAAGGAGGGGCTGGATTCCTCTCTTTTCTCTTTTGCCAAGCCTGAGTCCTACTGAGATCTGTCTATCAGGATGGAGGGCGCTTTCTAATGCACATAGACATGCATGTGCACTGTATTTTTCTAGCAGTTCTATGTGAAGTCCTTGAGGAAAGCTCAAGACTCACCTTTTCTTAGGACAGTGCCTGTCACAATGAAGTTTTAGTGAAATGAAATGTTCATTGAATGAATGAATGAACAATGAGAGAAAGAAACAATAAAGTACTGAAAGGATGCATAGAAAACAATTCTGTTTCATCCTAAAGGTAAACCAGCTGAGTGTTAAGTGAGACTTAGGGATTTATTAACATACTACTGAGAAGACAAGATCACCAAAGCCCTATTTTGCTAAAAGGACTTTACTGGGAGCCAATGAAAAGAAGTAAAAATGACTAGTCAGAATCTTACTTAGGTGGACTCAAAACTAACATAAAAACCCAATATCAACCACAATTTTTCTCATCTCTTTGGATCTAAGGGAAGATGAGGGAGACTTGAGGTTTTAGTTTGGTTGTTAGAGTCCACTGGAAGCAATTCCTACAGTAGAAAATGTGTAGCAGAGGAGAAGAGTGTTCAGAGTGGAATCCTTGATTTTTGAGTATGTAGTTTTCCTTCACTTAGAAGGCTGCATAGCTGTAGCAGCAGCAGACAGTTGGTTTCTGTTCTCAGTTCCTGATTCGGAGGTCCTAACACCCTGGTTGTGAGCTGCCATGTGGGTACTAGAAATCAAACCTGGGTCCTCCGGGAGAGCAGCCAGTGCTCTTCATTGTTGAGCCATTTCTCCAGCCCTGCATCTGTTATTCTAATGAGGCACCTCCTGATGGTCACCTGGATACTTCACAGTATCCAGGTCCAGCCATGACTTGGCACTTCCAGTGGAGCCCCATCTCTGAAAAGGGAAGTTGGGCAGGAGGTACAGTTATAAATCAACCGTACCCTTGACCGTGGAGTTTGGAGATCTCTGGGTGATAAACACACCCACAAGCCAAAGGGTGGTGCAGCTCAATTCCACAGAGCAGGTCCTGTCCTCAGCATTCCTGGAGAGTCTGTTCTTTCAGTTTATCTGTAGTCTTTATCATGCCCCATAAAATAAGCCAGGGGAAGCACTGCACTGTTTCCCTCAGTTCTGTGAGCCATTGTAGCAAGTTACTGAACCTTGGGGGTAGGACTGTGGGAGTCCCTATTTGTCGTCTGAAGTTGATCCAGAATGCTGGAGGCCTGAATGCAGCACTGGCATCAGAAGTGAGGTGAGTCATGTGTGCGTGCTAGATCCCAGAACTGTCCTGAACTGCATTTTAAGACACCCAGTTGGTATCTGCAGAGCTGGTCAGGTGGTAGCTGACAGAAAAAAAAACCACATACGTGATGTCAGGCATGTCAGAGGAGCAATGCAGTTTTTATTTTAGGTTAAATTTGAAAGCAACAAAAGAATGTATTGAACCATAATTGATGAAGTTGACCTAACTGCTGAGGTCCTTGGCTTTTTCAAGAGATGCACAAACCAGATGAATAAGAACTGTAATATAATCTTTTTTTTTCTTTTTAAAGAGAAAGAGGATTTCTCAATGTAGCCCAGACTGGCTTATAGTTCATAATCCCACTGCCTCAGCCTTCGAGGATTACAGGTGTACCCCACCATCCCTGGCTTACTAGTCTTCAAAAGGTTTACAAGATCTGCTTTGATGATCTTTTAATAAGACTTTTATCTCTTACAAGTTTGGACCAAGATTTAGGTACTGTGTACATACCTGGGACTCGCAGAAGGTTTTGGATTTGCAGGGAGTTTACAGCTGTCAATGACATTGATGAAAAATGAGGAAGTGCAAAGGCCTAACACCCCCTCTGCCGAAAATATCCAGAATTTTACTCTGGGGCTGTGAAAGAGATTCCTCTGATAAATGAAGTAACATCTTGCAAAACCCCAGCCCGGGCTTTGCTTTCTTCCAACATCTCATTCTCCTTCAGACCTGTTTCTGACGATATGGTTGTGGTTTGCAGTAAGAGGAACTGAGAATGTTGAATACTGTATTTTACCATGTGACTTCAGGATAAAATATCATTCAAATCAGAACCTTAATTAAACACACTCAAATACAGAGAGAAGAATTTCGGGGGTAAAATATAAGAATTACCTTTTTTCCCCCTTCAAAGTTTAATCCCAGGTCTCTATAATTTTAAGACCAGTGGAGCAAATAGTGGAGAAGCTACGGGGCAGCCTTCAGCTGCTGTGGTATCTCTTAGATCCTTGGCTATCTCTTAGATATTTGCATCTCAGGGACTTTCTAGTCTACTTTTCTAGGGCTAGATATATGATCAGAGTGATCTAAAATTGTTGAGAAGAACAGAAATGAGGTCTCCAAGGTGTCACACATTTCAATACTATGACCTCCAAGAGCCCACGATGCCCAAGTCAAGACCTGGGGAATTGCAGTTTCCTCTTTTAAAGGCAATACAACATGCTGACTTCATGTGTTTTATTCTCTGGGCTATTTCTAGAAGGCAATGAACTAGTCAGTTTCTTTTTGCTTTATGAAAATAAGTGAAGGAACTGGGAAGATGCCTCAGCAGTTAAGAACACTTCCTGCTCCTGCAGAAAATTGGAGTTCAGTTCCTAGCACCCATGCCAGGCAATGCACATCTGCCTATAATTCCAGCTCCAAGGGCTACAATACCTTCTTCTGGCTCCTGTGGGCACCGACACTCACATGTATATGCCCCCCCACACACACACATTCATAGTTGAAAAAAATACCATTTTTATAAAACAAAAATAAGTGGAATAGCAAATATTAATTTTTAAAGAGCTTTAATTCTTTTTAATTACTTTAAGAATTATGCGTTGGGGAGGGCTGTGCTTGTGAGCACAGGTGTCCACTGAGGTCAGAGGCATCAGATCCCAGGAAATGGAATTACAGGCAGTTGTGAGCTTGCTGACTTGGATGCTGAGAACCAAACTCATGTCTTCTACAAAAGCAGTGTATGTTCTTAACCTCTGAGACATCTTCCCAGTACTGGGGTTTCAATTCTTTAAAAAATGCTTTGTTCATTTTGGAAATTTTAAGAAGCATAAGAGCATTAAAAAAAAAAAAAAAAGATCCCCACAAATGTCATCCACTAGGCCAAACTTACCAATGTCTTGCTGTGGCTTTTGAGGTTACAGAGAAAATCAATACTGTGTTCAGGGTTCTCTAAGGGACCACTATTCTCAACACACTGAGGATCAGCAGGGTACTATGAGGAAAAATGATGCAGAACCTTTATGTCAAATGGAATTTAAGAAAACATGACTGCTCACAATTGCCCTCAGTGGAATTTTACCATGTGTCACTTCACCTATATTTCTAAGCAGGTTAGAAATGTTGATGTATTTATTTATTGTTCTATACCTTGGAAAAAAGTAAAAGTACTCCCCTTAAATACTAGTACACACACACACACACACACACACACACACACACACACACACACACACACCAAAATCCATTTGGGAAAGTTAAATTCTAGAATGATGTTTTTAATAGCTTTTTAAATTAGCATATAAAACAATGGGCTTCAGGCTGGAAAGATGGTTCAGCACTTAAGAGCACTGGCTGCTCTTCCAGAGGTCCTGAGTTCAATTCCCAGCAACCACACAGTGGCTCACAACCATCCCATCTATAATGAGATCTGGTGCCCTCTTCTGGTGTGCAGGCATACATGCAGGCAGAACACTGTATACACAATAAATAAATAAATAAATAAATAAATAAATAAATAAATAAATAAATCTTAACACACACACACACACCCAACAAACCAAAACTACAGGCTTTGTTATGCTGTGGGATGTTGTTCTGTATGCTGTGAATGTGTGTTGCTCTGATTGGTTGATAAATAAAACGCTGATTGGCCAGTGGCCAGGCAGGAAGTATAGGCAGGATAAGCAGACAAGGAGAATTCTGGGAAGAGGAAGGCTGAATGAGGAGATGGCAGCCCGCCATCCAGGGAGCACACAGGTAAAGCCACAGAACATGTGGTGACATATAGATAACAGAAATGGGCTAAATTTAAGTGTAAGAGCTAGTCAGTAATAAGCCTGAGCTAATGGCCAAGCAGTTATAATTAATATAAGCATCTGAATGATTATTTTATAAGCAGCTGCAGGAGAGAGATTTGTCCCAACCGCCGGCTAGCTGGGACACGGAAAAACTTTGTTACAAATGGCACCAAAATGTGGAGCAAAGTTTCCACCTAAAACCTGAGAAACCTTTAAAAAAAAAAAAAAGATTCTAAAATGGAGCTAAAAACAGCTTCCTAGTGTACATAGGCTTGGGAGAAAGAAGAAAATGAATATAGGCAGTTATATAAAGAAATAGTTTTAAAAAATAAAGTCTTTAAAGAGATAGTAAAGGTAATATAAAAAATAAGCCACACAAAGATGGATATTACACAGAGAGTCTGGATTATATTGTCTTTGGGATTTTTAACTGCAGAGAGACATTGATTGTAAAAGCTGCTGAGTTAAATCAATATGTATATTTTTAAAGATATCTTGATTTCAAAATCTACGTCTAAGGATATGTTGCTTTGGAAAAGAGGTTCTGCTTTTGTTTCCACAGAGGATGAGAACCTGTGGATTGCTTCCAGGCTAATATGGTTTGACTAGCCAAGAGACCCTGAGAGGCCCAGATGATCCAACATCCAAACAGCTTCAAGGCAACTGGCTGAAAAAAATACAACATCATTGACTATTCCAGTCAGGACTTGATGATAATTCTTAATTTTCTCAGGATCCCCATAAGATTACCAGTGCCCTCTATCAGCAGGAAATAGCCTAGAAAACTATGCCCACATTCCCAAAAAATGGATTATAGATGTTTTCTTTGTTTAGGTTGTTGGTTACAAATTGTCATTGGTCATAGTCAATCTCTTTCTAAAAGAAGAAAGGGGGATATGATATGGAAATATAGGATATAGATAGGATAGGATAAAAGGGTGGATTGCTGAATCTACTTTTAAAAAGCAACAACTTGCTTAAAATATTTTACAATGCTGTGGATTTTAGTTTATTGATACAAATTTAAAGTTAATTTTGTTATACTGTATGTATATTTCTGCTCTTGTTTAAGGTATTTTGTTTGTGCAACTCATTTGAAATTGTAATGTATAATTAAGAAATGCAGATTACTAGTCATCTTTGATAATCAAACTTATAGTCATGTTAGTTAAGTTTTCTAGGTATACATAGATATATTTCAGTTAGGTAGGTAATCTTCAAACACTTCAAAGATCTACATAATATGGCATTTAAAATGTTTTAAAAACGTGGATTTTTCTGGACAGTGAGACATGTCTGCTCCTGGCAGCACTGATTTACTTCAAAGAGAAAGATGGGCATTAACACTATATGGAGTTTATCTTCTTCTTGGCAAAAATAGCCATTTGGCCAGGCGGCGGTAGCACATACCTTTAATCACAGCACTTGAGAGGTAGAGCCAGGAAGATCTCTGTGAGTTCAAGGCCAGCCTGGTCTACAGAGTGAGAACCAGGATATGCACCAAAGCTACACAGAGAAACCCTGTCTTGAAACCCCCCCCCCCC